AATTCTGAACCTTGGAAGATACTTCAAGGTCATATGGATAATGGATTGATGACAATTTGTTGCTGCTGTCATTGCTCAACCTTGCAATAGTATCAGATCTTGAAACAGTCCCAGGGTTGTAGATATGAATGTCGAACCTAACAATATTATCCTCCTATTTTAGAACATCACCATCGAAAATAAAACTACTTCAAAAAAATTTTCCTACACATTTAGAAATTCACTTCGCAAAACACACAAGGAACATAATCGCTTCTGGAATGAATAATCTCCTATGTTGCAGACTTATATGGGAAGAGCTAAAATCAAAGACTTCTGTGTAAAGTTTCGATAAACGTATTGCATCTGATATGCTGAAGACATGGGATTAAAACTCACAACAATCTGAATTAACAGCAGTGATGGCAGATATTACATATGTATTTCAAAATTTTTAGAAACAGCTTCAAAAATTGGATCTAATCCTACCTAATTTTCTCACTGTAATAGATAGTGTGGTTACAAAATTAGAAATTATTGCCAGTGAACCAACGCCTGGAGGGAAAGAGGAGAAAGTGCTGATTATGATGATTTTTCTTGTGACATAGATACCAGTAAGCATCGCACCCACAATTTTTTGTTAGAACCGAAAGACTTAGAAGTTGTTTTAGTATTTAAGAACTTCCTTTCAGGAAGGCTAAATACAGAAGATGATTAGTCTCAAATGATCGGACCTTTTATGGCAATGTATACCACAAACGTCCACAGAGATGGTAAGTGTTGGGCGTTTACTCATCAAAACTCTCTCTTTGGGTCTGAATGGGTAGCAGACTTCATACCTGATGTGTGTGATAGATAACCTGCCATTCAGAAAATTGCATAAATTGATACTACAGACAAAAGTGCAACGTATGTAAACAAACTAAGGAAACTTTTAACAGAAACGTCTAGTGTACTGCAAAATTTATTTGATACATTGCTGGTATTATGAACCCCAATTCATGACAAACAGAGACAGATATCTTGCATTACAATCAAATAAATATAACATTTAAAATGTCATATCCTGACGATACATTAAATCATTGTCTCTTTGTTTCCCGAATGGTGTTCGCATTATTCACTATGATCGGAGGCAAGTAGTTTTTGAATTTTTAAGAAAAAAAAAGAGTCTTTTCAGAGAACCATGTTTTGACATTTAGGAGCAATGAGACTTTGTACACATCTTTTTTATGGAAGAAAGAAAACTGTAGCCTTAATGTTTATAAAAAAATTTCAAATAAGTATGTCTTTTAAATATACAATAGCTAACACAAATACAAATGCTACATTAAAAACATACTTTGGCTGAAACTAAAATGCGCTATAAATGATTTCCTCTAGTGGCTATAAAAATTAATGTACTATCTTGAAACAACTCTCAGATACTTATACTCTATTTTCGAATTTACTAGAAAACTTGAAGTCAAATTTTTATCATAACATCACCATTAAGACCCGCATCTTCCCCTTAGTAACAAAAAAATAATATTAAAATATAGCTACAACACTGCTTACTTCTTGGATTATGAAGTTTCTTAAACAATCCTAATACAAAAGCAAAACACTACAATATACTGTATATTAATCAATTATTTTGGTTCTTTTCTCTTCTAAGGCCCATGGTATACAAATGAGATGGTGTCTTGTCCTGGCTTTCACTGGCCGTCCTGTCTTTGGGGGAGTTCATCCTGGATAAGTGATCAAGTGAATTCACTGGTGGCTCTTTCCTTGATGATCTTCTAGAAGTAGTCTCAACAGGAACTCCAAATTACTCAGGAAATTGAGCTTCTACTGACAAATTATTCTCTGGAGTTACCATTTGGCCATTCTATTACTGATGTACTGCTAAGAGTAAAACCTTTTTCTTCACATCCACGAGAATTGTTCCAGCTACTAATTCCTCGTGATATGCTGGAGTATTTAGCTTCATAACACCCAAGTCTCTAGATGAAGATTTTTTGCTATTAACTCCTGATATGAGCATCTCACTTCATCCCTGTTTCTACTGGATGTTCAACCTCCAATGTAGTAATCGCCATGTTGTACACAGAGATTTCCTAGTCCTAGACTATGAAGCTACATGAAACTAGCCTGACTTTATGTACACCAGCTGTTCACACCAATCTCTCTTCTTTCTTCATCTCTGCAGGCAATTTTGCATTTTTCAATAACAAATCAGGTCAAACAATTGTAACTATAGAATCAGTATCAATCATCATTCCCCAAAGGTTTTCCATCTACAAACCCATAGACTCATGAACAATTTCCTCAGATAATTAACTTCTTTTATGATTTGGTATAAATGGAATATTCTCGACTGAACTTTAACTCATATAACCAACTAATTCTTGTTTTCTTGTTCTAGTTGAGGTCTGTCTCCTTAGCTTAATAACTGCTGTTGATTTTTATTTTTACAGTTTCGTCTATAATGACTATATCTCCTATAACTGTAACAGCAGTATCTTCTAGGATGAGTTCATATTTCATATTGGCTTGGATTTACAGTTCCTTGCAATATTTGCTTTCAAGTTACACTTGAAACATTTACTTTTGTGTGGTTTATTTCCTCAATTCTGTGTAACCAGTTTCTAACTGATCCTTTAGTTCTTTCAGACTATCATCAGTAGAAATTGATGTTTCAATATTACTCAATCTGACGATCTCATAACTTCAAGATAGTATTTTTAGTTTTTTATATACAACCTTAATATATTCTACTTTCATTGCCAACACAGCTTCTTTTAATGATGTACACGCACTTTGCTTAAACCTTATTCTCATATCCTCATCTGTCGTGGTATCTATAGATTGCTCACATGCCAATGAATCCATCATTTAATGAGGTTTGTCCATGTAACATAATTAGGCAAGCCTTTCCAAATCTTCTGCAAATTTAGTCAAAGCCTCTTCTTCCCTCCCTTAACCTGTTATAGAACTTTGCTCTGGATACTTCTTTCTGGTGCAATACTTGCACCAGTTGAACAAGGTGCCTATTAACACTTGATAATTGTTAAGGCTCTCAACTGGTTCTTTTAAATAGATAGCAAGATGAACAGCTTGTTCATTTTTCTAATCATTCACTCTGGAAATGATTTCAAAATGCACCTGGTATGCCTCCCATGACACCTTCCCAGCATAGTTTGTTGGTTTCTGTATTGACTGATATTGGATTTGATAGTGTTATGACTGGAGCAGTCCACAAAGTTCCTTCTGTAATAGGTGGAACAGCAGTAGTGGTAATAGATGCAGATCAAATAAGTACTCCTATTCCATATTTTGTAGCAGACGGTGTTTCAGGCTGGAACTTCTGAGAAAGAAGTATTGCTAGTTGAATCTTCACATTGAATAATTCGTTTTCCAGATGTTTTATTCTGTCACCGATGTTCTTTTCTATCTCACTGTTATCTTTATGTCATTCACGTGTTTTTGTACTTTGCTCTTGACTATGTCAATATCCTTCTGTACTTTGCCCTTGACTCCATTGATGTTCTTCTGCATTTCTTCAAACTTGACTTTGTAATCCTTCTGTATATCCTCTATATCATAATCTATTATGTCTTCAGAGTTATGTTTATTTTCAATTCTTCTTTAAATAGTATGTCTATTTCTTTTAACTCTCCCCTTAGATTACAGTCACGCTCTTCCTGGTCTTTCTTAAAGCTTTCTTTTAATTTCCCATCTCTTTCTTCTTAGCCTTTTTAAATTTTCTTTCTATTTATTCTAATTTTCTGTCCCTCTTCCTTGTGCTTCTTTAAATCCTCTATCTCTTTCTGTTTATTCTTCTTTCCCTTGTTTTATAACATCTAGCATGTTTCCTATCTCAGTTTATACTCATGTGATAATTTTGAGTGAAAGTTGAATTTTAGTCAAACTTCTAATGTATTTTGACCAAAATAATTCCACTTCTGACACAAGGTTTGGAAAATTGTTCTTTCTTTGGTAGGTTATTTTAAATTATGTAGTACAAACAACGCACGTATGCAAGGGGTGGGTGGTATAGTGAACGTTCAGCATCTGTTCTCCGCCGGTTGAGGTGTGCAAAAATCGAAGAAAGACTTAGTGCTCTAGTTTTAATACATAATCATTATGACACTGCTGTCAACATTGAAACTGTATGTATAGTTATTTATGGAAAAGCACCACAAAAGAATGGAGCATGCTAATATGTTATTCCAGCAATGCATATAAACTTTGGCTGAAACAATTATACGCTCTGACTGATTCACTCTAGTGGCTAAAAGCAACTACTAGGCCCGGCATGGTCAGGTGGTTAGGCAGCTCGACTTGCAATTTGCGGATCGTGAGTTCGAATCCCCATCCCACCAAACATGCTCGCCCTTTTAGCCGTGGGGGCGTTATATGTGACGGTCAATCCCACTATTCGTTGGTAAAAGACTAGCCCAAGAGTTGGCGGTGGGTGGTGATGACTAGCTGCCTTCCCTCTAGTCTTACACTGTTAAATTAGGGACGGCTAGCGCAGATAGCCCTCGTGTAGCTTTCCGCGAAATTCAAAAACAAACAAAAAACAAGCAACTACTATCTTGTAACAACTCTCTGATAATCATAGTATACCCTCTAATTTACTAGAAAACGAAGCAAAATAATTAAAAGTTTGGTGTTAACGTCTTCATTACGACTATCTAGCTACCAAACAAATAACAACATTAAAAATATAGCTTAAAATACTATTATTATTACTTGTAAGGTTTGTTTCATTATTTACATTATTATTTTGATCAGTGACTAACTGTTTAACATTACTTTCAGCACGCTTCAATGTGCAACATGCTATTATTAGTATTATATTATCTTCGGTTACTATCATTTGAAATAATCAGTTTTATAACGTGGTATTTTCAAATATCTTTAAAGGAAGCGTGAGATGACAAGTAAGATAAAATAAAGAATAAGAAAAACATCTCACTGAAGCTGTTTGTCATCTTGCTAGAATACGTGTATTGCCATATTTTGACACAAGGTAGCATTATTCCATCACGTCGTATGTAAAGAATCTGCAAGGGAGTGATGTAAGCCTAAATTGTTTTGCAAATTTACCAGTAAGATTTTAGTTATTTTTTATGTTTAACATAAAATTTAAGTTGAATATTATGTTAATAAATTATTATCAAATCAACACCTAGTACACTGTTGTCATAATGATTTTATAATATTATATAATAAATTGTTATTGTACCCTTCTTGAATAAATTTTCAGTACATTATATATTTTCAATATGATTTCGTTAAATCTATAACTTCAATCTCACACTAAAAGTAAACTTAAATTTAAAAGTAAAACTAACGTTTTAGCCTTCAAAGTTTAAAATCACTTGAGGAAGTGTGTCCAGTCCCAAATATGGGAACATTAAATGCATCTGAATAAGTAAAGTAAGTACTCTGGTATACAAAACTTAAATTAAAAATTATTCAAGTTTTAAATTAAAAACATCTGTTTAATAATAATATAATTTATAATTTATTTGTGGTATAAATAATTAACTGCAGAAAATATCTTTAACAGTGACGTACCCAATCAACTAGGCATTCTAATTTTCATAAGTGGATAGGTTAGGAAGGCATATTTAATAATTAATTAGCTATACAGTATATTGGTGACCATGTAGATTTTTAGTTTAGCTCTGGGTACATGGCTTCCTTTGATCAGAAGTAATTATCATCTATAAGTTTTGAGAGTTACAGTCATGTTAGATGGTAGTCTCTGGCCAAGGAGATTGTTTTAATTGTTTTTTCTTAATTATAAGTTCATAATTCATGTGGCCTATAACTTGAACTTTTAAAAATATTTTTACAAAATTAATTCTATTACTGTAATTAATACCTATAACTAATAGTAATAATAAGAATAGTGTCTCAATTAAAGGTACAGTATTATGTGTACATAGCCTTCCTTATGTAGGTAAGCAAAAGTTTAATTCATAAAATTAACTTGTTAAACTGTTATATAAATACCATACTGAAATTCAACCAATATTGATGTTTGTATTTTTTTTTCTTTTCTTACATATTATATCTATGGAAACATTGATTTATGGGGCATATATATAACATTGTAGCTATAAAGCCCAACACTGTGTAAGTTGTAACTATGCATATCAATGATTTCATTTGGGATTTGTCCTATAATTGGCCAAATATTATAACGTTCCTGTAATTCTAATATTCACACATACAGTCCACCACCAAGCATGCAATTTCAACATCTGGCTTTAAATATCTAGCTATAGGCTAGAAAAAAAAAAGGCTCCTGATTAAACAGAATCTTGCCTTTAATAAATGTAGTGACTATATAAATATAAGGCATGGAACTACTGTATGGTGTCTATGAGTATATGTATGTATACACACACACTCAAATACACTGTGATTCCTCATGTATTGATAAGTATTTGTGTTTCATAATACGTAATAGAGCTTGGTGGCATAATAGTCAAAGAGATTAGTTTCAAAATTCCATGTTTGGGCATTTGAACTAAACCTTAACAATCTACCAAAAGTACAACTAGATGACTTAGTATTTGAATTAAGATACTGCTAGCACTAAATGCGTTATAAATAAATGAAGCCTTTGTTTCAGTTTTTAACTTTTATTATTATTGTTCAAAAACAACACAAAAGTTATGAATGTATAGTATGGTGATCAGGATGGAAGGTAAGCTGCCAAGGACTATGAAATTCTGTTTCATTATTGTGCAGTAAATTAAAGTAAAAAAAATACATTTTCCTGGCTATTTTAGAACTGGTAGGTAAGTTGCTTGAGCCATCAAGGTAGTGCTCTAAAGGTAATAAAGCTAATCTATATACTACTAAAACTCTGAGATTGTTTGTGTGTTTGCTTGTCTGTAATTAAATACAGCAAAAACAGTGCACAATAGTGCCATATTTGTAATGAAATGAGAATAAAAACAGAATAAAACAGGTTTTGTTAAAATTGGGCCACGGGTTACCGAGATAGCCCCATTTTTCGGGGCACTTTTTGTACATTCTATTATTATAAAACTTTGTTTATACAACAGAAATTAAATGATGAGATGAAAATGTGTTATAATGGCACAGAGAAAGAATAACAATAAAATGGACCAACAATATTATTGACTATTTGCAAATAGTAACTATGGAGATGAGGTAATAAAATAAAAATGAAGTCGAGAACAACAACAAAATTTTATAAATGAAAACCTCTCACCGAGCATTGGTTATTATATTATTTCTCTGTCAATGTTCCCATCTTCGTTAAAAGGCGTAAGATGACGAAAACAAGATCTTGAAGAATCTATCTATATACTACTAAAACTCTGAGATTGTTTGTTTGTTTGCTTATTTTCTCAGTTAAAAAATCATTCACACTACCATTCGCACTCTTTACGAAACTTCATCAGGCCACAGTTTACCAAGTTAGCACCATTTCTCGGGTCACTTTTATGAAAATTTCTAGCATGAGTAATTTTACATCGCACTACTCTTTGTGCTCTTTATGAAACTTCTTCTTTCAAATTTATTTCTCTGTCAATGTTCCCACCTTCATTAAAAGGCGTAAGATGAAAAAAACAAGATCTTGAAGAATTTCTCAATAATGTGCCTTGGTTATGTTGGGAAATTGAAGAAAAAATAAAGTGTTACCGTTTCTTATTTGTAGAAGGTTTAAGAGGAAAAACCACAACATAATGAACTAATTCATCACAATACCTGAAAACTCTGACTTCACTTTTTTGAAAAAATGAAATAGTCTTTACTTTTACTCCTGATCACCAATCAAATATATTTTCTTGAATTATGAATAACATGAATGGATTGAAATATTTAATTAAACTATCTCAAAATAAACCTTCATTTCGGTGGAAGATTGAAATTAGTAGAACTTAAAGTTGTATTTACAGATCGGGTTAACATAATGTGCCAGTGGTGTGCACTTGATATTTTGTTTTTCAGCAAAATGTGAATGGGAAAATATTGTACTATTCTACACTGTACTAGTCACTCCCTAAAATTATGTTCTAGCCAAGTTAAATTTTTCAAGATTTTATTTATGCTGATGCAAGTAAATATTCTTCAAAAGACTGTGGCTGTTTATTCACACCTACATACTCCTAGCTAGTTTGATATGGTGCATAATGTAATGAATTCAAATGACAATTAGTCTATCTGTTATATTATAATATGGTGCAAAGTAGTTAATAAAAAGGGATTTACATACATGCACAATTTAGTAATGAGTAGGTAGTATCCAGTTTATTTAAAAAAAAATTGCATTAATATTTATTTCAACATGTTCATGATTATGTTATCAACGTTAGTTGAGTTATAAATATATATATATATATATATATATATACACACACACACACACACACACACACATGTATCTAAGGAAGATGCATCATGAAGAGAAATGGACTCCCTTAAGAAACTGTTGGTGATACCCATTGAAAGGTATTTTATTTTGTTACATTTATTTCTAGTTGTTCCACGCATTTATGGTTTGACAAATAAAAGTTAATAGAATTTGTGGGTGCTGTCATCTTGAAGAAAAATTTTTACTTTGGAGTATTGTTACAATAGCTAGTAAAAAGGATGATCTGTAGTAGTTCTATTGTTTTTTTTGCAAACTTCATATTGTGGGAAGATAGAGTTTACAATCTAGTTTTGTTAAAAATATACATTGACAAATTAATGGATAGTTACATCAAAAGTAAAACTTTTATCATCAGTAAAAAATTTCACATTGATCAACTATGTTTTATTTATTTGAAAATGTATTCGTTTTATGTTTTAATACAAAGATTTTTATTTTAGACAATCTGTCTAGATTGTGTTTATATGTGATTGTAGCAGTAAAAATATGCCATTGAAAGTATATGAAAAGTTAGACAAAAAATATGAGAGAACCTATGTACAGTATTTTTTGCTTGCCATGTAACTGGAATCTGTTGAAAAAGAAAGAACATTTAATATCTGTGGCTGTTTTTTATGTTTTATTATAAGTGAAATGTTAATAGTATATAAAACAAAATTAGTGTCATACATTTAAAGTTAAATTATTCAATAAAAGTATGCTAATTGATTTCTTTCTCTTTTTTTTTTCTAAACTAACAGCCATGAGTAAATTTACCAACGTAAGCAAAGTTCTCCAAGAGTTGAGCTTCTCCCATCATGTGGTGCTTCGATCAAGAAATGTTAGATATCACAGGATACTGGTCTTAGGGGCTGTTTTGCCTTCAAGATGGAGTGGAGTTCGATATTATAAGAATTTTGGACATCAGAAACCAAAACCTTCTTCCCGATTCACTTTGTTCTATTATACTGCGCTTTCATCTGTTTTGCTAGCTTCATGTATTGATTTTAATTGGTAAGTTTGATTTCAGTACAACATTTTCAGGGGTGTAAAATCCAGTAACCTGATACCTGGGGCTACAAAATTTTGAGTTTGGGCTTTTGTGAATTCCATACATATTAGACAAGGGCTAGTGCAGTTCTGCTGGAATGAAATGTGTGGATATATGTAAAATCCAAATTTATATTTAATTGTTAAACTTTACAAAAACACTAACTGTTAAGTGTTTATTTCTTCAAATCATGAAGTATCTATTGTAACTGAAAGTTTGTAAGATCACTAACCTGTTTATTTACAGTAGTCTAATCATTATAAGCTTGATATAAACATACAAGACTCAATTACCAACTTATAAATTAAAACTTTCAATTATTTAGTTTTGTATTTAAACACTTTTTAATTAATCTACATGATTATTTTTTACTGGAATTAGAATATTTATTTTTTAATGCAAAAAGTTATTGATATGACTGTGTTTGGACAAATTGACTTGGACTCTGCTAACTCTTTAATTCCTCAGCCTTTTCTCTAGGCACAACAGAAAACGGTGAGGTGTTCCAAGTGTCAAATACCTTGTGGTAGATTTGACTTCATCATATATGTATACTGGATAACCTGCCCAAAGGTTATTTTTTGTATATTATAAACAGAATAATATTATCTTCAATATGTCAAGAACATTGGTGTATCATAGACTGGTTAATCACTTATATATGCTGTTGTAGATTGTTATTTTTTAATTTTGTAATATTGTTGTAGTCATTGCATTGAATATAGTTATGTATATATTTGAAATTACTATTAATTTAGTCATTATAGCATTTAAAAAGTTGTACTAGTGGAATTTCAGTGCATGCTAGTACATTTCTCATACCTACTAGTACATCAAGAAAAAATGATACCCTTGATTTTGGTGTATTTTTAATATAAATTTTGTAGAGAGCATAATTTTTTGGTACTACCTTGTTTACATGTTTTAAACTGTGTTGCTATGGTAAAAAAATGTCTATTAACTCCTTAAACCCGAGTGGACGTTGCCGGCGTTTGGCCAAAAACTCAATTTACCCAAGGGATTGTGACAGCATTCAATAACATTTATGTCTCTTTTGCTGAAAACTAATCCAAACCAAGATATTATCCATAAAATTAAGATAATTGAAGTTTTATAAGGTATGGTGATAATTATTAGGAAATCAGGAATGTAATTCCAGCAGAACGTGCAAAAAATTATGGGTTTAAATAGTTAATGCAATTCAGCATGAACACCAACTTATAAACAGTTTTACGTGTTATAAAATTTTTTACCATGTGGATGTTTTACAAAAACAAATGATGTGTCTTTTTCATGCAAAAAAGAATTTCTAAAACATTGGTTGCTTCTGCTTTTAGAATTTGTTTTGAGACTGACATGGTTTGTGAGGAATATAATTTAAAAGATAAAAATGGAGTATTTAATATTAGTTGCAGATATATAATATATACTTGACAGAATTAACTTCATGTAAAATTTCATATTGAAAGTGTGGAAAAAAAATACTATTTTTCATTATTATGTAAATCATATATTTAAAAAAGTTCCTTTAAATATAGATTGTACAGAAAGTGCCATCTTTTGCTGGCAACTCTGAAGAAAAGAAAATTTGCTACATCATTTTCTTGTATATCTTGCTTAGAAAGTTAATGAATCTCTTAAAATCTTGTTTTGGTTTTGATGAAAAGTCTTCTCAAAGAAAGACTACTTGACCTGGATTTGCACTGTAAGAATGGTTTTTCAACATATGTTATCTAGAATATTTTGCACATATAGTAAACCTTGTCAGTTGAGATCTGATCAATCACACACAAAGTTTTTCATGTGCTTTGGATTCTCCTGTTTTTGGATGCCCTCCTTTTCTGATCACTTTAAGTTCAACAGGAAATTCATCATGACTGCATCCACAATGGTTGCATTTCATGCAAACACAACACCTTCCAGCCTTGCACTTGCAACTGATACTAGAGTAAAAATGTCTCTCATACATTTTCCCAGTGTATGTTGACTAGTTTAGCAATTAAAAATGGGTCTTCTATAGTTAAATTACTTTGCAAATGGCACTGGACATTCACCAAATTCTTGACACAAATGGGGGGAGGGAAGAACTCTTTTTGAAATGAATATTTCCCAGCAGGAAGTAAATAGATTAGAACAAATTGAAGGGCAGTTTTTAGTGCTTTTTATTATTTTTCAGATATTGTAATGATCAAAATGACCACTAATTTCTGTATGATCAACTCTTGATTTTAAGGTTAAGTTAGAGTTAAAGTTATTGCTGTGTGAAGACCTATGTTATACATATTAAAGATAAATTTTATGAAGTATTTTACTATAAGAATAGTCATTTGTTAACTATGTGGTGAGGTATAATAAAATCTACAAAACATAATAAACTTGGTTTACAATAGGTCCTTCATTAACATTTTATTATTATGGGATGTTGTCGAATACAGTATTTCATCATGTGGGTCAATGCCACTGTTTACATTTTATGTAAAATGTTATTAATAAATTTCTAACTTTCTGTTTATGTATTACATAATTACATAAAAACATTAAAGTTTAGAAACCTTTATAATATTTAATTATATTTCATAACCATAGAATGGCATAACAGATTAGTAGAAATTATAAATTAAATAAGAGAAGTACATAAAATATCAATAAATTTGTGTAGAAGATATTTTCTTTAATCTTTAGTTTTTATAAGTTTAGATTTTACATATTGTATAAAAAATACCATGTGCATTCTTGGAGTTCACAAATTTTATCTTTAAATGGATATACTAAATTGACAAGAAATAGTTCTAACAAGTTTTGCATTGGATTCAAAATTTTATCTTTAGGGTTTTAAACTCACAGTGTATGATAAATCAAATATGCTTTTAGTTAGATTTTTGCGCTATAAAAGTTTTCGTTTTCTCAAGAGTTTGAAAGACATGTTTTTTGTCATGATAGATGACCCTTTGAAGAAATCATAAAAAATGTTTCTTGCCTTTACAGAATGTTTTTGCATATATTACTGCTTTATGATTTATTGTGTCAGGAAATGTCAAGGATGTGACCATATTTTGTATATAAAATGGCATTGTTTCTTATTGATTCAAAATTTCCTTTTAGATGTTTCAAAACAGGCACAAGAGACAATTTACAAATTATTTATCAATATGTAGTTAAGCTATATCAACGAACGTGCTCAATAATACTCTCTGACTGCAGATCAATTACTCACTGTCTACACACACATTGTTGTCCGTCACGTTGTCACCCTCTTATATATACCAGACTACCCTATATCTAGTAATCTCCCGACAATTCCCGAAGGTTCGAGAGAACGAGTCACGTGACCTCGCTGACGCAACATAACAAATACATATTATTACTTAAATTATTATTTCAGTCGTTCTTCATGTATCAAGCTTCTATATGCAAAGAAAAGCCAAAACTATGGTTTTTATCGTTAAATGAAGATATAGCCTAAAGATGCTTTGCGGGCTTTTCGGCATAACCAGGTTTCATTCGCCCAGTGCTTACGACCTGGATAGAAGGGTTAATGATTCTTTCTTCTGTGAGTGGGCAAATCTTCACGAAGTTTGAGATTTGTAAGGTTGGATTCGTTCGAAATAGTGAGGGAACGACGTTCCAGCTGAAGAAAAAGATAAGGGAGTCCCTACGCGTTCCCACACCAGTACACCACTGGTTACAAAAATATATATCATCGTTTCATTTCCCTATTAGCCCCCCCTGGGTTAGCACTAATTTATGAACTTATAACGCTAATATCCAGGGTTCAATTTCCCGTGATGAACTAAGCGCAGATAGCCTATTGTGTAGCTTTGCTAAAAAAACAAATAAACCATTTCTCTAATTATAATAAAATTATTAGAAATAAATACCTTAAACAGATTACAATAACAGCTAGGATGGTAATGCTTCAGATTATGATGTGATAAGCTATATTTTTAGTATTATAATTGTTTGCTACACGGAGTTTGTTATGAAAACAAGTACAATCTAAAAGTGACTGAGCCAATTTAAGTTAGTTAATGAGTGATTCAGTTCAGCGTCCGTGAGAGTTATTACGTCTATTCGTCTGTGATTCAGGTAGTTAATTAACGTGTTTGTTATCGATTGGTTAGCTAGTAAGTTTTGCAAGTAAGTTTATTAGTAAGGTTGTAATCAGTATTCTAATTTAGGTTTTTGCTTCTTAGAAGTCGCATGACGCAATGTATATAAATTTCATGAAGATATAATAAGCTAGAAATTTCGTGCTGTATGGAAAAACAAGAGTACATTATAAATACACAAATAAATAAAGCATTTAGTGAATTAGAATGTAAGAAGTAGCAAGAAAATACGTCAATGAATTCGTTTCAAGATTCGGGGTGTCTTAGGATCTTCACTCAGATGAGGGACAAAACTTGTTTGCATAAATGTACCAGATTCTTAGATTTAAAAAGATCAGGACAACAGCCCTTCATCCATCTTCCCAATCAATTGAATCAATTAGCAATTTATGTGTATGATTGTCAGAAAACATAAGATCAAGATCTTTTACTGCTAATTTTGAGTTATCGGATGGTAGTACATAAAGCTATAGGCAACACAGCCCCATCATTAATATTTAGAAGCAAATTTAAAATGCTACTGGATCTACTTTACACACATCTGGATAACAGTTGCTTAACAGAGTCTTACATGGAATGTGCAGAGAAACTAAGAAACACAACCAATGACATATATGAATTTACCCAGGAGAGACTTAAATAAGCTAGTGATAAAATGAGAAGTCTCTATTATGTTAATGCTGATAAGACTGGATTTCATCAAAGTGACATGGTATAGCTATTCAATCATCGTTACAGGAGAAGGTGAACTCCAAAGTTAAGTAGATGTTGGGAAAGACTATATGTTGCAGAAGGACAGGCAGTTCAACCCAAGGGTTAACCACCATAATCCTTTTTGGAACTAAGTCGGTGAGCTGAGTAGCTTCAGAGAAGAACATCCCAACAGTAAGTCAATCTGCTGAAGAGTCCATGGTTTCTGTTAAGATCTCTTCTAGAGGGTCACCGAAGATAGAATTGTCAGTGAATTTGCTCAACCATCTACCTAGAGAGGACTGTCTCAGTGACAAGGTAGCAAGTGATGATAAGGGTCAAGATGTCATCGAACTGCGTATCATTTGTTTCAGGAAAGAAAATCACAGAAAGATTTGGCGAATGGACAATCAGGACACATTAAATAATGTATGAAATATGTTGTTAACCAGTATTGTGATTGTACTTGACTTAACACATTTAATTAACGATTTTGTTATTGTAATGTTTAATTATGAAGATGTTTGTTTGTAGTTAAGCACAAAGCTACACAATGGGCTATCTGTGCTCTGCCCACCACGGGTATCGAAACTCGGTTTCTAGCGTTGTAAGTCCCCAGACATACCGCTGTGCCACTGGGGGGCTAATTATGAAGAGCAACTTTTGTTAATTCTAATGATTTTATTACTAATTACCAGGGTGTATACAGAACTTTGAAAAAATATTTTCCCTGACAATTCACATTATTTAAACACACACATACATATATAAAATGAACCATGATTGCAAAGCACTGCACTTACTGCTTTAAATGAATAAATATACTGGACATAGTAGTTAGCTAATACATTTCTGTTAGTGATTACTGGCCAAAAAAATTCCTTGATATTAGGCATTTTCCCCGACTTTTCCATATTTGCAATATTTTTCCTGATTGTATACACCCTGATTATGTAAGTTTAAGTTTAATATATTATTATTTCACTTGTGTATTAAGATTGTTCAAGGGACTTCACAATCGAGGGAGGGGGGAGTGTTGTAGATTGTTTTAATTTAAATATTTTGTTTGCCAGAGGTTTTTTTATGGCCTATTGATTATTTGTGACCTCTAGAAGTTCCCTAAATGTTTAGGACTTAGGTGATGTTTCGAATTTTCAGGAGGTTTATGGGAAAATATCATGATATATAAAACAAGAGAGCTAATCAACGAGTAGTCAGACATTTAGTAAGTCTATTTCTGTGTTCTCGATCGATTACTGAATGTGTTAGTCGTCCATTTTTTAGTTGTTTCGCAAATGCAGTAGATATGAAAGGAAATTTAACAAGTGTCTTTATAGTGTTACGTCTCCGTTTGTTAATTAATTTTCCGACGAAACTTTAGCGACACAAGTCCTTACTTAATAAAACTGGTTTATTCTTTCCGAATACAATTTTACGATACACTTATTTTCAACAATCGCGCTAAAACAAACGCTATATCAACGAACGTCAATAATACTTCTGACTGCAGTTCAATTACTCACTACCTACACACACATTACCTTCTTCCGTCACGTTGTCACCCTCTTTTATATACCAGACTACCCTATATCTAGTAAATACTAGAGCATTCGCCAAGGTACAGGATAGTTCTAGAAACGTGGCGTCACAGTAGTCATGTGACTCGCTGACGCAACAATAGTTTTGGTTTTAAGTTAGGCCTATCAAATGAGCATAGCCTGTAAAACGTGTACTTACAGTCGCAGAAATTAATCGCTTTCGTTATCGTTAAGTAGACTGTATTTTGCATTTTTTTTGCGGAAAATAAAAAATAAGCCGCTAAAGACAAAAACCATATTAATCTGTCATAAACCATCTAAAGAAAATTTACAGTTCTTACCATGTTAAGTCAATAACATAGCTTTTCAATCTTTCAAGATTGGCAAACACATAAATAAAATACTCTCCTCATGGAATAAAATAATTTTCTTTTGGGTAAAACTGATTAACAAACAAATATACAAATTGTGATACTAATAGAAACGTAGGTTACTGTATATAGTTTGTTAGTTTTTGTTTTGCTTACATAACTTAGGTCATACCACTACTTCAATATACATAGCTAAGGAAGCAAACACAATTATATATTGTTACGACAGCGGAAGTCACGTGACCCTAGTAACACGTCATTGACTTCTAGAAGGATCCTGTCCCTTCCTGAATGCTCTAGCATTTGCTAGATATGCGGTAGTCTTGTGTATATAACACGGTCAAGACGTGACGGCAACAATGTGTAATTGAACGGCGGACAGAGAGAGAGCACTGTTGAGTCGAGCACGTGAGACGTTCGTTGTGAATTATAG